TATTTTCAGTTTACCTCCTCTGAGATCTGAACATCCACCCATGTGTTAGCCATGCATTGCGACCTGTGAAGGGGAGAAGAGGATCCTGATGGTTGAGTGGTGTCTGGGGCACATCAACACATCACTCTGGTCTTGAATTCCCATAGATGGGTTGCCCCCTAAGGTCAGTCTACTGGTCCTGTTGGGTTAGGGTCAACTGAGTACCAGTGTTGGGTGTTCTAAATGGGTGTTGTGGACATTGTTTCTGATGCCGATGTTTGGGTATAGTGCTCACAAAACCCTGGTGTTGCTGCAGTGTCCTTGTTTTACATTCTAGTGTGTCCCCTTGTAGGACCCCATAGTGGGTGGGGTCAGTGGGTACTGAATCTTTCTCCATATATTATGGATCCCCCAAATCCTCAAAAAAAATCATAAAACTCTGCTCATTAGTAAATGACCACACCTAGAAGACTCTGAACAGCAGTCTTCACCCCATTTTGTACCTGTACCTCATTTTCTCATCTTGCATTCCTTGTCAGATAAACCTTTAGGGCAATTGTCTCCCTTTTTTATTCAGAAGGGATTAGAGGGGCTTGCTGGTTCTCCAAAGTCAGTTAAGAAGCTACATTCTGGAGACATCTTGGTGGAAACATCTACACCAAAACACAGTGAACTCCTCTTGAATTCGAAGGCTTGCTGGCTCTCCAAAGTCAGTTAAGAAGCTACATTCTGGAGACATCTTAGTGGAAACATCTACACCAAAACACAGTGAACTCCTCTTGAATTCGAAGGCCATTAGGGATATACCCATAAGGTTACTTCACATGCAACTTTGAATTCCTCACGAGGAGTTATTGTTAAGAGGGATTTGAAGAACATCCTGAGTTGGAGATTCTTGCTGGTTTCTCCAACCAAGGAGTTTCTGCAGTGCAATGTATCTCCACTGTTGCCTATGAATGTTTTCATTTTGATGTTTACATCACCACGTCCACCTGCCGATGTCAAGGCAGGTTATTTGAACTGTAAAGTATGGCCATATATTCCCAACCCTCTCAGATGTTTCCAGTATCAGCGGTTCGGTCATTCGAAGGCATCTTGTTGTGGTGGCAAGGATCACGATGCCTACGAGTGTGAAATGGATTTGCACTGTGTTAATTGTAGTGGTTCTCACCCCTCTTAATATAGATATTGCCCTAAGTGGGTGGAGGAGAAAGAGGTACAGCATCTAAAGACTGTCAACAACATTTCTTACCCCGAGGCTTGGAAGTTATTGTTCCCTACTCCATCTCAGACATATGCTGCTGCACTATGCTCCACTGCTATGGTGGGAGTGCAGACAGACCTTTCCATGCCTCTAAGTCTTTTTTCACATCATGTGAAGAGTCTTTTGATCAATGGATGATTGAGTTAACAAGTCCACATCTGCTCCTGTCTTTGTCTCGACCATTTCTTCCAGTGACTGCCCGGATCTACCTCCTATGGCCTCTGGTGCCCACTTGGGTCCATTTTCCTCAGCCCCAAGATGCAGAACAATCATTTTGTTCACGCCCTCAGTTGCTGGAATCCGATGACAGAGATCTGCCCTAGCGACCAAGGGCAGGATTCATGGAGGTCGATAGATCTCCTTCTAGTAAAGAAAACTGGTGTGGTCATAAACAGAAGGGATCTCCACCTACGT